GGAAAACGGGAGCATTCCTGATCCAGCCCTGCCATGCTCTTCTTGGGCGACCCCAGGTCCCCAGCACGCAGCCCCAGTCCCAGCCCGGGGGAACAGAAGGGGCAGCGCTGCCGCAGCCTTTCACCAGGCAGTGGGCTCTTCTCCACAACATGTGCCAATGGCCGGTTTGTCCCTCCAGTGCTTCCATGTGGGCTTCTTTTGTGCACAGAAAGGCTCTCCCAGTAAGAAATACCCGAGGGGCCATAGCTTTGCCCATCCAGTCCTTGTCGGATGTTGCACATGGCCTGGGAACGGTGTTGTGAGAGCTGCCAGGCGCCAGCCAAGAGGTCACCCCCAGGTCCCTCTGCAGCTTTGGAGATCTGCACCCACGTCTGGGTCCCCCGTCATTACCTGACCCCCCCTCCAGTCACTGCAGGCCACTGAGAAAGGCACGGATCACAGCCTCTAATGGAAATGTTCTGGCTTGCAGCTGTGCCCGTCGATGATGGTCACCCGACTGCTTCACCGCATCTGGCCTGGGAGCCTCCGGGCGACCCCACAGGTACGTCACTGGAATGGGTGAGCTTGTGGGTTTTAGTATGCTGTTCACAGGAAATTTAACTTCATGTTTTCCTGGCCGATGCTCAGACATGCAGAAGAGCAGAGAGGGAATGGGTGAGCTCCAGGGAGTCCTTTCTCCCCAGAGCTCCGTGCATGGCTCGTTTTGGGTCAGCATGGTCCAGGCACCCCGTAATGTTCTGCACGATGCTCCTGAATGGAAAGGAGGGACAGTTTGGCCTGCAGTCCCTGCCGTACTGATCAGATGAAGTCTGTTGAAAGGTTTGACGGGAGCTGCTCTCTTCTGTTTGTTTACAGACGTGCCTGGAGGCGACGAATACCCAGCTTCCCTGCTGCTTGCCAGCACTGACGCGCAGGCTGATCCCACGGGTACGTCACAGCTCCTTGCTTCCTTTGAGAGCTGCCAGCTCAGAGCCAAATGTGAGCGAGGCGTCTCGTGCCACTGCGAGAACATAGATCTGCTTTGTGCGTGCCGTGTCGTTCTGGGGTCCCCTCATGGGCTCTGCTGTTCACTTATGACGGTGTAGGTCACAGCGTAGGACAAAAGCTTCTCATGGGTGTTTGGTTGTAGGTGTGGCTCCATTTCCATCTCCTCGGCCGGATCCTGCACAGATCACCTCACATCCCACGGGTGAGGATTCTGTCTTGCCTGACTGCACCGACTAAGCCCTCTTTTTCAGTGTTTTATGAGTGAGAAATCTAACTTAACACTTTCTGTTAAGGTCCCGAAAAAGCAAAGAATAAGTCCAAACTCCATCATGTTTCCTGGAGGATTTCAGAATTCATAAAGAAACTCGCGAACCAGTTGGATCAAGTAGCACGCGGTGGGTATTTATCACTCTTAACGAGAAGACTTGGGAAGCTGAGATTTTAGACAGGTGGATGGACCAGCCGTAGCCTGCACAAGCCGAAAGGGATCGCTCAGAGCCTCGCTGCACTGACGCTGCATTTCAGACCTCGCGGGCGCTGGTGAGCCGCAGAGGTGGTGCAGAGTCTCTGCTGCCAGCTGAGGTTCAGGCTGAGCCCCAGGGACAGCCGCTGCCCCAGTAGCCCCGGTCCTGGCCAGAGCTGTTCTGGGCAGATGTTGGGGCAGGAGCTGGCGGTGCTCACGCCTTGCGGCCAGTTGCCGGAGGGGAGAGTGTCCTTGGGTGGGGGAGAGGCTGCGCAGGCGGCTGGGGGTCCCTGGGACCGGCAGAATTTGCCAGGGCTGCAGGCATGCCCTGGCCGGGATCGGAGCAGCCCCAGCTTCACAGCCTGGTCCAGCCCCGTTGTTCTCCTTGATGTCTGAGTACTCTGGATGACACCTTGGGGCCAGGGAGGGGTGGCAGCTGGACAGCCAGCTGGAGGCCGGACACCTAACCTGAAGGCCCCTGAAATGAAGGGCTGTGAAGTCACTCTCGGGTGGTTCAGCTGTCTGTTTCTAGCTGTGTTTTGGGTAACTTGGTTGTGATTTTGGGGGACCACGGGGCCTTCACTGTCACTGGTGAAAGTGCCCAGGATAAGGTTCCAAGAGCCTGGGCTTCAGTCAACTGCGTGTGCTGTTACCCTGAGAGTGCGATGGGCTTGGCATGATGGGACGTGTTTCTCCGAAGGGCTCTTTGCCCGGCTGCATCGGCTCCAGCATCTTCCTGTCCTCTCTGAAGGAAGGAACTTGCCATCCTCTTGCAGTTAGCCTCTAAGTGCAATTGAGAAGATCACCTGCAACCTCCCAGTCTCTCAGCAGCTCATGTTTTGCTGTCTACTGGTAAACTGGGAAGTGTCCAGCTCTGAAACTTTTCTCCAGGAATGAGACATGGTTTGGACTAGTGACGAGGTGCACCCCTAAATGCCCAGACCTTTTCTCTCGGTGTTATCAATGTATTTTACCTTCTGAAGATACCGCGTTCCTGACGAGGAACAGTTACTTCTCCTTGAACTGACCCACTTCTTTCCAAAGGGAGGGACCGTGGGGCTGTGGAGCAGGATACGCCGCAGGAAGGAGTCAGTCCCACAGAGCTGGCCTCTGGCGAAAAGACCAGGGCAGCTCAACCCACAGGCGTGCCAGGTAATCGCTGTCCCTCAGTCATCCCGTGCCACGAACCAAAATCCCTGGGTGTCCCAGCAGTCTTGCAGGGGGCCATAAGTGGGAGGCAAGACCTGAAAACTGGAGGCGTGCAAGCGGTGCCCGTGCTGGACAAAAGGCAAAGGTGGAGAGCAAGGTTCAGGTGTCTGCTGGGAGGACCTGATGCTGTCCCCTCGGGGTGTGGGCGCGGGCTGGGGAGGGAGAGCTGGGGCTCGGGATTACGGCAGTCCCAGAGTGTAAGCAAAGCTGAGAGCAGAAAGAGAGCCTCCAGAGTGCATGGATTGGCAACGGCTTTGGGAGTCTCCTTTGTTTATCCTGAAACCAAGGAAATGTGGCAGCCCCAGGATGTTGAGTGGTTTCCCCCTTTCAAAGGGAGAGAGAACATCTCCTGGCACGGTCAGGCCTCCTGTGAGATACCCAGCAGTGCGCAAGTCATGCTAACACGCAGAATTGTTCCTCCAGCTGTGGGTGGCAAGACAAACTCAAATGCTGAGGACCCAGATGAGCTTGAGACGTATTACTTAGAAGGCGCCGTGGCAGTCTTGGGCTTCGTGCTGTTCGGGATACTTTTGTGTTGTGTGATTTATCTGTACAGGAAGAGAAAACGGTGAGTCTTTGGGGGGGTTTGCCAAACTTCTGCACTAGGTGCCTGCTCTTAGCCATGAAGTGTGTAGAGGTAGGGTTTCCTGGAGCAGCGAGTTAGCTATTGGCCTGATTTAACTGCCCTCTTAGTCCATGGGCGTTCTTTCCTGAAACCCCTGCCTACTGTGGCAAGTGACCCCCCCCGCGACAGACATAGACAGAGCAAGGTCAGAATGTAAGAACACCGGGGGATGGCACGGCCCTAGAAAGTGAGAATTGCCACAGTGACCTCTCCCTACCGCGCCCAGCTCTGGTCCCCTCAGCCTGCCGGGGTTGGGTCTCCTTCCCGGCACGTGCAGAGCAGGCGGGTCAGGATGGTGAGGGCTGGGAGGAGAGGAGCCACGGGCAGGTGAGCAGAGCCCCAGCCGCGGGGCGCGGGGCACCCCCGATTCTGCCA